TTTTGCGCAAGACAATTTCCTGCTATTTCAAGCATCAACATTGTCAAAGTTGTATGTACATAATAAATGGGAATATCAATGCATAGTTTTTAGCATAACATCTTGACTCCTCGATAATTATATCCGTTTGCAAGCCTACGCAAACTGGCTTGAATTGCTTGGTTAGCAACCTCGCTACTTTGATTTTTTTTTTTCGGAAAAAAAATTACTCATAATTTCCCAAAGATTACCAAATTCTCGAGAGCAGAATGTCATCAGCGTAATGAAGAGTAAACATTTATGCTAATAATTTGCAATTTTTTCATCAGCTATAAAGACAGAGGCTATGGCAGAAATGCAGTCATATTCTGCAACCGAGTCCTGATATTGAGCTGTTTTTTTTTTTAGAGGAGCCCTTATAAGTGGATCTACTCGCAGAGATTCTCTCAGAGGAGATTTGTATCCTCTTAATCCTAGAACAAAACCTGATACCATGATTTTAATAGCAATCGGCCTGTTTTTATCTGAAAGACTAAGGTAAGGGTGCAAACGGTTTTCTTACTTTCTGCAAACATTAAGGCTCAAAACTGTGTGGGGAAACTGCAATGAATAATAATAAATAGGTTGATGTTAAATCAGATAATAATGCTTGCCCCAAAATCTAGCAATTGTGGAGTATAATAAAGGCAGGGCTCAGAAGTACATGTGGACACGATCCTATGCTGATTTCATAACATGTTGCTAATCTTTTTTTTTACACACACACAAGATCGCTTAAATTATAAACGTGTTTATTTACATTTTTACAAATGCTATTTTCATTCCACAAACCAAAGCACCTCACAGGTTTCTAAACGGCAACGCAGAATATCGTTTCACAGCTAATCGTTATAAGTAGAATATACAAAATATTCCCCAGTAGTTTGAATTCACAGCTTCAACTAAAACGTGCCACATTTGGGCAATGTATGATTGATACGCATATGATTCGTGTGGCGTATTTAAGTTGGCATACAATATCAAATGAGGAAGATGCATAATAATAATAATAATAATAAAAAGTATGCACTTCAAACTTATTAATGGAGCGAATGCTTGAAATTGTCTGCTTGCTCCTTATTAAAAGATCAAACGGAAACCCAATAAAAATTAAGAGAATTGTTTTAATTTAAAATCGGTTTAAGTGATATACAATGCAATGTATGTATGATATCGTGATTGTACCGCGTCAATCCGGTTTCTAGACCTTTTTTTTTGGTCTTTATTACACAAAAATAAACAGTAATATAAGCTCACGTCGAAATGGTGGACTTTCAAAGCCCACAATTGTTTCCCCGGGTGGGGGGGGAAGAATGACACATTTTCGAAAATAAGACCTTCTTTTCAATAAATAAAAATAAATCTTTTTATTTATTTATTTATTTATTTATTGAATGAATGAATGAATAAATAAAAAGAAAGAAATCTTATGCAGAAAATCCTGAAAACAAATCTGATCGTGAGTGCTGAGCCATGATATGATAAGATATGATATGATATGATATGATATGATATGATATGATAAGCCTGCAATAGCACACATTAATATTTCCATCAGTGGTAAACCGATGTCGACTTTTATCAACAGATGCTTTAAAAAATACAGTTGGGTTACGTTTACCTGCCTGGTTCTGAACTAGATCGACTTCTCTATAATATTAACCATTTAAACGCTATATAGAGCAGAGACAGACGAGAGATCTGCGTTGGAAAAAGCAGCCCTTGTTGGATAATTCCCCCCCCACCCCCCCCCCCCCCCCCCCACACTCTATCTTCATTACTCCAACATTGTACCTCACTAATTTCGGCAGAGTTTCCTATTGACAGTTCTTCTCCATACACCTGTAAGCAATTTGCAGCCCTCATGACAAACGCAGTTCTGAATTGCAAAGATGGAAGTGTATACCGATTTTTACTTCGGTGCTCCTTTCTCAATGCAAAGGGATTGGGGTGGGATGGGATGGGGGGGGTGGTGGGGGGGGAAAAGAAATTTGGCTTTCACTGCTCCCTCTTTTGTTAATGCAAAGGTTCCCCGGGCGAAAAAAATTGCTCATAATTACCCCCAATGATACGAAACTGCATTAGAATAAATAAACCAAAATTACTGTAATTATAGTCCGTTTGATGGCCTCGGCTTGTAATCAAGTAGAGAATACAGTGAAATAATGCCCATAGCTTTTCATTCGCAGCTGTATGTGCACGTTGGGAGCTTTTTTTTTGGGGGGGGGGGGGTGGTGGAGGGGCAGAATTCAATGCATTTCCCCTGTTGGCTAAGCTGTTGTCTTGCTTTCAGGACGAAAATGTTGTGCTTAATATCCTCCGAGTGTCAGCTTTCGCATGAAATATATTCCGATACTGCAATTGCATTTTGAAGGCAAAAACTTAACGGTACGTTTTGCTCGAAGATGTCCAGCAAACAGACACACACTTGCCTGTGTTTTCGCAGAGCAATGCAAAGAAATAAATCGCTGACACGATCACTTGCACGTTGTCGCACGTCAGTGCTTTCAGAGACCGTTAATTATACATTGCTGTTTAACTTGGTTTCAAGTTTCAGAACACTGTACGTCTGCAATATCCACTCTTCAAACTGTGCACATTGATTTTTATGTTTGGGATATGTTGACTTGGGTATTTTTAATGCTCTGGTACCCATTACCTCGTTACATTTCTGCAGAATTTCAGCTCGGGATGTATTTATGTGGTGACCTGTACAACACGCAGACACATACCTGTGTAAGTTGGCCGTGTGCTTACTTATACGAACAACTAGATCTAACTAAACGTCTGGGGGAAAAAAAGAGGGATGGATGTGTTACTTAACGAATAACGTCTTGTGACAGAACAGCTTTCCCCCAAATTACTGATATTAATAGATTTCGCGTCTTCCTTTTTTTTCCCCCTCTCCAGCGCTCTGTGATGTTGATGGTAAATGATATATACTGACCGACTGACTGCTGGAAAAGCGCAGTTCACTCATCAGGTCCCAAACAGTCTCTTTGAAGTTCTCAATTTGTCCCTTCGGAAAAGACACAGCCTCTCAACCCCCCCCACCCCCCCCCCCCCCCCCCCCTCTCTCTCAGAACAAACCACAGGATTTCGCTGTGGCACCTGTTTCTCTTATCCATTATTTAGTTTAACTTAAGCAGTGGCTTCCTGTCATTCAGCGGTGAAAAGCAGATTTATTGTGTTCCCAAAGAAGTGCACAGAAAGAGCTTACAAGGGGCTGCAGATCCATCTGAAAAGCCACAAAAACAAGCGCTTTTAATTGCTGCAGAAATCACTGCACCGGGTTTCAGTGTCGCAAAGGGCGAACGTGACACTGAAACTAACGTGGGACGGTGGGCAAATATCATCGGATCCTGGACTGGGCGTGAAGTAAGAACCCACACTTTCATCCAAACAATGTTGTACATATATATATATATATATATATATAGTGTGTTGGAAACTTTCAGTTTGGCCCCAGTTGAAAAGTATGGAACAAGTTCGCATGTGAACTGAAAATTCAGGGTTCCTGTGGACCAGGGTGGATGTGTTGGACTTATATTTTATAACGACTTGGGACGTCGTTCCGACGTGAATGGTGTTACATATAAATGTAATTTATTGTTGCTGCTGTTGTTGTTCATTTTATATATACACACACACACACACACACACACATATATGCCATCACTGATTATTTTGCCGATATCTGTGAATATAATTAATTTGTGGAGTGTCCACTATCTCAGTTATAATCGCAATCTGATTTTTTTTCTCCAGCAGCTAATTCCATCGTGTGTAAAATGATGAGAAGTGTGAGCACTGATATCAGAGATCATCCACATGCCCTGTTTTCACGCTCAGACTCTCTTTAAAATGCAAACAAACAAAAACCCCGCTGTTTTAAAATCATAATTTTACTGTCTTGAATGGACTTTATAATATATTTACAAAGATTCAAAAGATTACAAAGCAATAAGTTAACATTGTCAATATAAAACTAAACCTTTTACATGTAGAACGCTAGACACAGTGTGTTTTTTTTTGTGTGTTTTCTCCTCAGTAACACGTTTTTTTTTTCCCATTTCACAGGTAAAATATTAAGATCCCATTTCACAAACGCATCGCGTACACTCCACACAAAACAAAGGACGCTAAATCTGTGCAACATATTTAAATAATAATTAATAATAATAATAATAATATACAAGAGCGGAAAACCCTGTACAGTAAGAATTGTCCATTGGCGTGTGGGTATCCTGTGGGTAACAGAGCTTAAACTCTAAAATGGAGAGGGAGAGAATTGTACTCAATATATACTGCATATATATATATATATAAAAACTAACTGCCTGTATTTGAAATGGGATGAACGAAGGGATGAACGAATACAAGTGATTCGAAAACAGCAACAGCAGCAACAGCAACAACAACAAAACAACAACAACAAACAAACAAAAAAAATAGCCGGTTCCTAACTGTCCCTGGAAGATGATGCCTTTTGTTTTGTTTTTTTGAGTCTTCTTGCTGACAATCTGCTGGTAACATGTTGATCTGATGGTGGGCGTTTGGTCCCCATCGAGTCAGCTGGCAGCGTTTGGCTGGGAACTCACTCCGCCTCACATCTGTGCATGTCTGCTCTGAGCACTTTGCACCGACAGAGATTGGATTGTTTGGATTTTTTTTTGTGTGTGTGTGTGTCTGTGTGTGTGTGTGTCTGTGTGTGTGTGTGTGTGTGTGTGTCCCACCACCACTACCCACCCCATCCACTTCCTTCCTTCCTTTCTTTTTCTTGGAGTGTCCTTTCTTCCTCGAGGACCAAGTTATTTTGTTTGGTTGGTTGGTTGGTTGGATGGATGGATGGATGGTTTGTTGGTTGTTTGGTTGTTTGGTTGTTTGGTTGGTTGGTTGGATGGAAGGTTTGTTGGTTGTTTGGTTGGTTTGTTGGTTGGTTGGATGGATGGTTTGTTGGTTGGTTTGGTTGGTTGGTTTGTTGGTTGTTTGGTTGGTTGGTCGGTTGGTCGGTTGGTTTTCACATGAGTTGTTGGGGCTGTTGCATAGATTCCTGGTGTGCTGGAGGGTACCATGATGTGTAGGTGGGTATGTAACTTGCCGGGTTGCCAGTGGAGCTCTTGGCCGCCGATGCGGTGTTCCACACGGGTGGGACCAGAGGAGAAGTCCCGGTCAAGACTCTACCGTTGGCCAAAGCGCTGGTGTCCAACGCGCCGTTGCCCTGTTTCATCAGCTTTTTGAACTTGGAGCGCTTGTTCTGAAACCAGATCTTTACCTGTGCAGAGAAAAAAAGTACAAGTAAATTAAAGAAATTAAAGAAATTAAAGAAATTAAAGAAATTAAAGAAATTAAATGAAGGAACACAGAAATGAAGAAATACATCAAGATAATGACCATCAATGTCATTAAAAAAAAAGTCACCGTTCATGTCCCAACGCCCCGTTTTAACGCTCTTTTCCCCCAAATCCAAAAATACAAAATACAACATTTTCCACCCAAATACGAAAGCTTCCCCACAAATACGAGTCCCGCTGTGGTCATCCCTTCGAGGGGGTAACGATGCAAAGTGCTGTGCAATTTCGTCGTCGCCATCCTCCCCACACCCACCGCTCCCCCTCCTCAAAGATACCAGAGTTAACACTAATTTAGCGTTGACCTCGATTCTAACGTGAATATTATTAACGCGTTCTGGGGGGGGGTGGGGGGGGGGGGGGGTGGTAGGGGTGTGGGGGGGGGTGGGAGCTGCCCTCCCGGGTCCTGTGCTGCTATATTTTCAGGAACTCTGGACGGTGGTAAAAGCAATAACCTAAAACCAACAGCCGAAAGCTTGGATCGATCACAGTTACCAGCTGAAGGGTAGTCGTTTAGATGGGACGCGAGTGCGTACACCAGTGCCATGTGCCGAGTGAGGGCAGTGGAGTGTGTCCCCGTGTAGTGGTGGATGGAATCAGTCCGACTGCTCCACACACTGGTGTTTCACAATAAAATTCTTGGCGTATGTGTTCAGTCGGGAATACTTTGCGACTTGCATCCCTCACTTTGCCAAACAAGCTTGCGGATAAGGGGGATTGCAGGTTAGAGCAATGTCCCCCCCCCCACCCACCCACCCACCCCACACCACCCCACCATCTCCCTCCACACTTTTTGTCTTTGGTACACATAAATAACGGGATTGATGCTCTGGCAAAACGCTTTAATTCGCGATGGATTTCTTTTGGTGCATTTAACCTCAGCCCACGCCGACTATCCGGCGAAGACTCATCACCGGTTTACCTGCGAACGAGTGCTTGTTATCTTGTTGGGAGTTCAGATAAACTCAGCAGCGCTTTGATCCGCTCGAGTCATTTAAAAAAAAAAGGTAACTTTTTTTTTAAAAAAAAATAAAAATGTGTGGCGCAACTCTTACTATTATTATTATTATTATTATTATTATTATTATTACCTGTGTCTGTGTGAGTCCCAGAGAAGCCGCAAGTTCAGCTCTTTCGGGCAGAGCCAAGTACTGGGTTTGTTGGAACCGTCTGTTCAGGGCTTGCAGTTGCAGACTGGAGTAAATGGTTCTGGGTTTGCGGATCTTTTTCCCTTTCCCGTTAAACCTGATCTCGCCGCTCTCCACCGCCGAACCTTTGTCCGAATCTGCTGCTGAAAGGGAGAGGAGAATAACACAGCCATCACAGCCCCACACACACACACACACACACACACACACACACACAGAGCCAGTCCGTGCTCCACCGCCGCCGCATCCGAGCAGCAATACCCCATCGCGCTTTAACGCAGCGGTTCCAAAAAAAAAAAAAAAAAAAAAAGTTTTGTCTATTTTTACTAGCGACAGTTTAGGTGTAATTACCCATAATTGCATGCATTGTTTATAGTATTACGCAATAAATAATTACAAAGATCAGAGGCAGAGCGAGGCGAACTTCTGCAACTGCAACATTTTCAAGCCTGAGCTGCTTCGTGTTGCTGTTCGCAGCGGATTCCTTCCTTCCCCCCCAACACACACACACCCCACACACAGATTGCACGCAGTGGGGAAGTGGGGGAAGAGGGGTAAGGGGTGGGGGGTGGTGGGGGGGTGCAGATTTGGGGTTCAAGCCACTGACAGATTCCTTCCACCGATCCCCCCCCCCTCCCCCCCTTCTTACCTGTGTCTTCTAATCGCGTGTGGGTCAGGTTGGAGTTGCTTTGGTACGATTGCACAGAGGTGATGTAAGGGTTGGTGGGATGGCTGTTGACTGAGTTGACATAAGGGTAGCCCAGCGATCGGGAGAAGGTGGAGGCTGAGCTGTACGAGTTGTCGTGTTGAGAGTGGCCGGCGGAGTGCAAACAGTGCATGGAATAGTGTCCGTGAGGCATGGGAGGCGACATCTGTTGACTAGACGGCCCAAACTCCATAAAGACTGCTTTCCCAGACACCGGGCCGTTCAGATTCTCTGACATTGCAGTCATGGTCATCGTTCGCCTTCTTTAGTTTGTGTTCCCCCCACTCCCCCCACCCCCCACCCCCTCCCCCCACACCCTCCCTACCACCACCCCCACCCTCCAACCAACCAACCAACCAACCAACCAACCCCCAACAGGAGCTTGTCGCTTGGCTTGGCTTTTGGTTCCCTCTGGCACTGCTCCCCGCGGCCGAGAAGGATCCCCCAATTTAAGAGGGTCTGGTTTTTTGTGTGTTGTTTTTGTTTTACTTTCCATTCATGAGAAGAAGAGGTTTTTTTTTTTTTTGGGGGGGGGTGGGGGGGGTGGTGGTGGTGGGAGGGGGGGGTTGGGGTGGGCAGAGTGAGGGAGGGAGGGAGGGAGAGGGAGAGAGAGAGAGAGAGAGAGGGGGAGGGAGGAGGGATGGATGGAGGGAGGGATGGAGGGAGGGAAGGAAGGAAGGAGGAGGCTCCTCACCATCTCAGTCTGGGGAAGGGTTGACTCCCCACCTCATGCATAATGCACGATCCCGGCTCCCCGATAGGCCACTCGCTCACCACGTGCTCCTTCCATTGGCCACATTGGCCACATCCAAGGCTCTCTCTCCCTGTTGGCCATGAGGATTGGAAGCATCTCAACTCAATAGCCACCCCCCCCCACCCCCCCCCCCCCACCCCACACACACACACCATTATTATTTCTGTGGGAGGGGGGGTGGTGGAGAGGAAAGGAAAGAAAGAGAGAAAATTGGTCACAAATTGGTCACAAATTTATTCATTCTTTTTTTGTGTATATATATATATAAAAAAGAACCAACCCCCCAGCCCCCCCCCCCACCCACAAACCCACCCCACACTCCACCCACTCCACACTCCACACACACACTGCACACACACACACTACACACACAGAGAATTAGATATTTTTTTAACACACAACAACAACACAACACAACACACAACAACAACAACAACAACAAAAAAGATTATTGCACTGTTCAGTGAGTCGTGATTTTGGTTTCTTTAGCTTATCCCTCGATTTGGGTTGGTTTGAAAGCTCACAGACAGTATTAGTTGATACGGTTGCAAACTGTTCCACAAGGGATAATTTTCTCTGGCTTAATGATGTCGTGTTTTGCTTTGGAGGGAGGGGGGGGGGATGTTGTGATTAGTGTTTTAAGCGTAAAAATTAAAAAAATAAGCGTAAAAATTAACTCTAAAGTAGTGATGTGATGATTCGATAAAGTACTCTGCTATTCCCCCCCCCCCCCCCACCCCACACACCCCCCCCAAAAAAAGAGCGTGAATATTGTGAGAACGTGGGTGTTATTGTAAGTATAATCCCCCAACGTGAAAGACCACAAGGCAGTTTAATAGTTTAAAGTTAAAGATCTGGAATATATTTTAAAATACATTTTTTGTTGTTGCTTCGTGCAGCAGTATTTGCATTGAAAACGAAGGCAAGCTGCCCTGAAACAATTAATTGTCCTGCAAGTACAGTGGTAGAATCATATTAACCGATCACAAAACAAATAAATAGATAAATAAGTAAGTAAATAACTACATCCCGATGAAGATGCTAATCTGAAACGAAAACGCAATCGTTGGGGGGGGGAAAAAATCCAGTGGATAAATTCAGCATCTGAAAGAAAAAAAAATCGGTCGATGTTAATTGATATTTCTTCCGCATTATACTTCTTTTTTTTTTAGGAAAAAAAAAGGGTGTAAATGGGTTTCCCCGTACTTTAGTTTCTCGAAGGTTTACTTGTTTCGAGAAACACGTTCCTGGATGATTTCGTATCGCAAGCGATATGGAAGAAAATGGGGGAAAAAAATGGGAAAACAAAAAAAATACTGGACAGAATATTCCAACTGACCTTCACTGATATCGTACTGCATTGGAAATTGGAATTGTAACGGTTTAGGAAAACATATTCAAGTCGCGATAAAGCATAATACATAAAATGCAATATATTTGAGCAACGTCTCAGAGAGTATTTAGCAGTGTGCTAAACGGAGTAACTATAATTCTATTGAAAATATATTGCTTGTAATGGACCCCCCACCCCCCAAAAAGAAAAACCGTGTCCATTACGAATCGGTGTGGCGAAAGATCACACGTGCATATGTAGTTACAGATCCATCTGATTAAATGCCAGTCTCAAGAGTTACTGATAAACAGCTGAAGGCGGTTCCCATTGGCATAACACTGTTTAATTTTCATACGCGTAATTAGCCATTGATTTAACACCAATTGCGACATGCAATCGTTTCAGCGTTAAACCAGTGAAGCCGAGCAATACAGAGAGCAGAAGCTGACTGTTCACACACGTCCAGACACACACACACACACACACCTCATCATCATCATCAGAACTTTTAAAAATCCTGCAAAAAAGCACACTGGTGATTCACAGGGATTGCTGCGGGTCACATTCGACCTGTGAATGCGATAAAATGCGGAGAAAAGCAGATTTCAATGCAGGGGATTAATTACACTGTTTTGTTTGAAGGGCGAATAAAAGGTACTTAAAATGCATTTTTTTTTTTCGGGCTTAAATACTTCACACACGGCGATAAACGGTGTAATTTGAATCCCGATGAGGCACTGGCGGTCAGTAAGTGTAAAGCGTGACTGGGGTAATACAAATGGGTACAACTGGGATAAAGAGCATTAAAAGCTTAAAGTGATTTTTAATACTCCAGCTTTTTAAATATGTGGAGTTTTAATATATGTTCCAAAGGAGTGGTGATGGTCAGCAGAGACCTGTGTTCCACATAAACATATTTCCGATTCGTAGTTACCTCGAGAAATTGAAATACTGTACTGCTGACCCTCTGTGTAATTGACGTGTCCACAGCTCCAGGTATTTGGTGTTAATTTCGCGATAGAGATGGTTTCGCTAACTTTCGACAAGACATGTGCATTTTTAAATCGTAGCGTTGTGAGAGCTGTTCGGACCAATTGAATGGGATTGAGGGTTGAGTTTGCCTGAGACCGTTTTGCTGAGGGAGTGTAGCAAATTACCAAACAATACCTAATATTCCTACTTTTGAATATCTCACTCTATCTTCGGGTTTCAGGTAATACTTTCTACAGTGCACTGTGACCACTTTTTGAGTGAAGGGACACGTTTTCTTGTCTGTTTCTTGCAATCCCATCAATTTCAGCACTCGAATGCATAACATGTCTTGGTTTTGCGCGCCCACTGAATTGGGAATACATTTGATTTAATTGTCCAGCAAGATTTGGGTACAACATTTCCGGCTTCTCATCATCATCATCATCATCATCAGTGTATAAATCTTCCTGTTCTGCAATGCAGAACAGTTTCAACAAATAAGGCGGTTTTGCAAATAAACGCTCATACTTTATATATATATTCGCTTCTGTAGTCAATGCTTAACGCTTCTGTCGTTAATCCCCAGTATTGTAAGAATGTGTGTGTCTGTGTTTATGTGTGTGTGTGTGTGTGTGTAGGGGGAGGGAGGGAGGGAGGGAGTGTAATAGACTATCCACAAATTTAACCTATTGTTTTCTCCTAACATCATCGATTGCGGAGTGCAGTACAAAAGAATTGACCGAGAAAATCTGCATGTCAACAGCAGAGACACAATCCGACCCCAAATCAAACACTTTAATTACAGTGAGAACCGCTCAGCCCCATTCTGCAGTTGTGAATAAAGTCTGCTCTGGGCCAAGGCAATTAAGCACTAAAAACTGCGGCTCCACAAATTGATATGTATATTTATTCATGTGATGGGTTCATAACAATATTTGTACTGAAGATGCGCTCAACATCTCCCTCTGCCAACGCTGACTTGTTTATCCGTTCTGTTTGGCAGAACCCAAAACACTCTAAAAGGTCGACTTTGTTTAAAAAGTCCAGAGCCAAGAAACCAGCAAATACAAGTTCCGAATTCACCAGTCCACACAGTCTGTTTCAGATTAAATCCGAGTCTAATCGTACAAGTGTTTTTGCATTGCCTCGAAGTAAGCCAATCGTCGTATTTTTTTAGAAAAAAAATAATCGTTGCCTTAGTCTTATTTGATTTTGTTAACCCCCCCCCCAAAAAAAAAATTAGGATTTTTAATGACTTATTTCAGAGATGATTTGTCTGATTATACAAATAGTTTCTATCTCGCATTGAAATTGCTTACAATTGTGAAGGTGCTGTGCATGAGGTTGTCGTAGGACTCTGTACAGTCTATTTCACATCGTTAATATCTGATCCAAACGTTAATTACAACAACAACAACAACAACAACACGATTACACACGTGAAGCGCCTTTCACGTCGGGAGGACGTCCCAAGGCACTGCCTAATTAATCATGGAGTTAATTAGATCCCCAGAATAAAATTGTGGTCAGGCACAGCATCGAAATGATGCGAGAGAGAGAGAGAGAGAGAGAAATAAAAAAAATAGTGTCTCAGATAAAAAAGAGAGAGAGACAGTGTCTCAGATCCTATTCTGTCACCAGCTCCAGCAATAAAACAAAAACGACTCCAAACGGGCACCTGTTTCAGATGAAATTTACACCACGAAATGGTTTCACTTGTGCCTTCTTCCAGGATGTGAAACGAACAGGGACGTTTTTATCTGCAGATCGTGTAAAACAGACAGAATTAATCTGCTCCAAAGCCACTCGGGGGGTTAAACGTGACAATCTTACTTAATTCTCTGTGTGTGTGTGTGTGTGTGTGTGTGATGGTGTCCAGATGCCACAAGTCCATGGCAAACACAGTCAGGGTCCCTATCCTGTTTCCCCCCCCCCACAAGATTTTATTATTTTAAAAAGAAATCGATCGAGTTAACCACATTACAACAGAAAGATACTGTGTCCCCTCTCCATTAAAATAATCATCCAACCAACCGCTCTATCCGTTGCTCTTTGCGTTTTGTCGTTTGATCATAATTTATTATACACATATATATATATTATAATGATTTCTAACAAGACATCAGTGTGTCGCTGTGATTAAATCCAAACCCCATCGTGGGTGCAACACGGTTATCCACGTGTCTGTGTGGCCACAGACTTTGCTGAAACGCTGTGGATTGAACTTGTAGAGTTTGAAGCGTTTTTTTGGGGGGTAAAAAAAAAATGAACTTGCGATGCGTTTTTCCCACTGAAAGTGCCTTTGACAACATTACCGATCAGGAAGAAGGTTATGACAGTGATTTAAATGACCTCCGTGTTCGCCACGAGAACTAATTGCTTAATTACACGTGTCCTCATTTGAGGGACAAACCACTTGTTTTGGGCTCAGAATATTGTAGCCTTGTATTCCACCACATGCATTACCTGTAACACAATGCTGATCTGGTTAGAAGCAATTGCTTTGATTGCTGCATTCATTGACTCGCTCTCTGCTGTGTCCCCCCCCCCCCCCCCCCCCCCCCACCACAATAAATATACACAAATAACAAAATCATTTACATTTGCAACACGAGCAGACTATTAATTGTAAGACAGGTGCAAAGCAACGTTGCAGAGGTGACGAGGCTACAAAATCATTTTTCTTCTCTCTCTCTCTCTCTTAATTTTACTGCAATTAAGATGTAAACGAGTGCTATATTGGTGAATGCGTCCTGTTTCCAGAGGTCCTGTCACATCCACTCTTTTTTTTTTCATGGTGATCGCAGTCCCAGAAAACTTTCCAAACACTTTCGATTTAAACGTTTAATAGTTCTCACTCGCTGAGGCAGATGGTTTGACTTTACACGAAAGGTTTGCTTCCACTTCTTTGCATAGTTCAGCCACAGAGTTGAGGGAATTGCCTAATTTGTTCAAACCGAGGAATGGTTCAAGAAAACAGAACAATTCTGGAAATCACATGGGGTTCAAACTTGTAATTCTGGTAAAAGTCACTCAGTGAATGGATCAACGATTCTACAATAAATAAGACTGAACGCAGCATAAATTCGCCATAAATCATACAGCACTGAATGATTATGTCGGAACCCATCTCATGAAGAATTTCGGAAGGTTTTACAATAGACAAATAAAATCACTGCTAATGCTCTTCGTAAACAACAACTTAATTTTAATCTTTATCTGTGGCGAAATCGGTTTATAATCCAACACTATGGAAACAAGTCTGAGATGCAAACCCTCATTTTCAATTTAATACAGGGAATCTCATTTGAAAATGTTTTCATCAATTTAGATTCCATATATATATATATATGTAATATGTTTTAAATGCTCTTCACTTTGCTGAAGGCGTAGCAGATAATTAAATTGGTGAAACAGGTTAGTCATTCGATTTCAGAATGCATTGACAAAAAAAATGAAATAGAAACAACTTAGCAAATGCTAGATTATTATTATTATATTATTATTATTATTATTATCCCCCCCTCTCCCCAACAGAGAAATGCCAATTCTATTTTTCATTGATTACAGCCCAGACCACAAGACCAGAACAAATAGATGGGCCTTAAAGATGTAACTAATGGATTAACACGAACACGATTCATTAATATACAGGTAAAAGCAATGTAATGCCACCGACAATATAAAAATACTTTTTTTACCATTGATTTGGCAGTCACCTGATGGCAGATATGGTGCCAATCTTCTGGGTTTCCACAATAAACAACTGCACCTCTGGACTCCCACCTAATGTTTTAATGTACAATTTTCATGTCTGCATCAGGTATGTGTGCCACGAATTTGCTACCAGGTTCTTCTGTACTACATCACACTCACCATTCTGAATGCGCAAAATTAAGGGAGTTAAACAAATTCTGCTCAGTGATTACCAGCTTAATTGCCAATGCAGAAGTGCGCAGAATGATAATGAAGGTAATTTATGCAATCGAAGAACCCACACCAGCCCACCAAAAAATGTTCCTGACATCCTGAGCACATCATGTGCATGTTCCCCCCTCAGAAACTGAGGGTTTTTACATAAAATTGATATTAACATAATTGTTCTCACGCACCATTGTGTTGCACTTTAGACGACAATATGTAAATGTGCAATTTTCATTTAGGTCTGTGCGTTTAATATAGTTGTAACATGTGTAACTGGAACTTATACTGAATTAAACCCTATTCATTAGACAAGACATTCATGCAAGGTGTTCAAAGTACTGTACATCATTTGTTCCTCCTTTAGAAACTGCACAATTTATACCCATTCACATTTTAATTTATAATTATGTAATTTTATGCACATAACTCAAACTACGATTATCCTGCTAGAAGCAATTAGTTAAACATTTGTTTCTCAAATAGTAAACACTGGTAGTCAATCCTGTCATGTGAAACTTCTTGACCCATCTAACTTATGTTTTTACAGTGGCACTTTTTCGTGTCTTAGCAACAGTGTGTAAGGTTTTCAAGATAAAGTGAACTCATTTGGCATTTAGACATGCCTCACAAAATGTACTTCATTTTTATTTGTTTTTAAATCAAACTATATTGGCTGTCATGCAGTTCTGCAATCTGTTATTTTGTAATGCATCAAACTTGCCAGTTGACAGTAATCAGTAAACAAGAGAGGTCCCATTCCCCCTGCACACCACATACACACGCACATACAGCTATTGGAAAGGTCTATGGAACATTTGACTCAGACTCTCTCTGCCAGCTGCAGCGCTGGCACTATTATTACACAGTAACCATGACATTCATTTACAGAGAAGTCGTTTTTCAAAACACTTTATTATTAAAATGGTGTTAGAAAGAGCAAACATCACTCAACTGCTCTGACAGGTCAAACAGTATGTATGTACTGGGGAAAAGTGTCACAAATTCTCCTTAACAAACTTTGATACAAGCTCCGTCGGTGAACACAACTTCCATCAGCGAGGTTAACAGTGTGGTCTTAAACCCCCGCTGGGTAGAAAGTCAAGTTATGCTGTGTCTGGAACCAGTCCGCTGTTTTCCTGTTTACTCTTGATGCTCCTCTGGCAATTTGGTTAGGATTTCTGCTCCTTCTGACGTTATTACTATTGTGTGCTCGAACTGGGCTGATCTACAAACACAGACTTTACAAATAAACATCTGTACCATTTGTACAACGAGAAGCAACAATTGTATTTTGTATCAGATAAATATAGTTTGTGGTAAATATTGCGAAGCATCAATAAAAACAGCTTTTGTTAAAAATAGGTATATCGAGAAATTACAAATAGTAGTGATTATCACCTAAGATTATCATTGGAAATTGCTGTCCATCCATCCTTCAAGATTTTAAATTCTGGTGATCCCTCCATCAAAATTGGTTCTAGAATTCAAATAATAAAGTAATAGGAAAGTTAGACCTGTATAAAATTAGGAAACGATGACCTCAGTGGCCACATGCAGTTTCTGATGTAACATACACACACAAGCACAGAAGCAAAGTGCTATCCTCCATAATATACAAGGACAAAACTGAGATGTAGTTATTTAAAACTATTATACACAACAAAGTCACACCAAAGGATATTTCACTCCATGAAAATGCACTGAAAAAGCAGCTAACCCAAAAAATTTTGCATTATTTTACAATTTTTTTATTGTGGTCTACCTTCTAATTTTAATTAAAAAAAAATTAATTCTCATCAAGATTCTGTACTGGCCATGCTATGCCAAAAAGAAAGTGTACAAATAATCTCATCCTGATGGGGAGTAGTAGGCTTTTGGAAATGTGCCTGTTATTTGCTCAGAGAGAAAAAAAACATTGCTCTTTTGGCCTTAGCGGAAATAAGACTCCTGAACTTATTGACCTTTGGCAATGCATATTATCAGGTGAAAGTTAGGTACTTTGATGACTGTACTTACCTATAGTAAACGCCATTCCCTCTTCCATCACCAGGTCATTTGTATTAGCTGTAACAATGACAAACAGCGTTTCCAAAGTTATTTTTGTTAATTATCTCAGAAGTAAATCTCCTTACATCTAGGAATACTTACAAATAAGTTATGCTCCACAGTGTATTTACATAAATGTATATCCACAGCTGTTTGGTATCAAATCTAAATCAAAACTTTAAATTAATCCAAACAAATCTGTCTGTACTCAGTTATGTGTCTATGACATTACATCTTTCTTTCAAGAGCAGTTACTTCATATGGAACACATAAGGTACTTGTATAGTTTGTTTTTAAGATGAAAAAGCACATCTGGCTGATTCTACTAACAGACAAATGCCCCTAAACTCATACTAACGACTGTAACACGAAAATGCTTAATTTCTGCTGATGAAACAAGATGTACAATCACTTGTCCCCTCTTTTGCTATTGCTTCTCCACACATTTCTTCCAACATTTTAAAATGATATTGTTAAAAAGTGTCTTTATTTGGACCTATAAAATATGGGAGATATGGTACAGCTTGATAACATTACAGAAAGTCTAGTTGCTTACATTGTGAAGTCTGATGGCTTCTTTTGTAAGATTTTTTAAAAGTGTAAAATCATGATTCCACTGCAGCAAATATGTCTAATCTAAAATGCATCATGTTTTACCTAAGAAGGTTGATGGCAATTTTGGAGATAAGCTACAAGGATGAACATTTAAAACGTATATTTTTAATAGCTGAAGCAATCTATTAATCTATTAATTGTTTTAAATGTCCAGTATTAATACACAGTCAGCACACTTCACAGTAAAATTCCAGTGAAACTCTTTGAGATATCTTAACAACATGACAAAGCACTGAAATTATATTACTGGAAGCAACAAGTGGACTTCCGCATAACAGTATAACAGTTGTACCAGCCTTGAACAACCTGGGATTTGTAACTAGGGACGTTACCCTATGTGAAGGGCACCATATAAATGCAAGTTGTTGTAGTAGTTTACACCGCAACTGCTGTGCTGTTATACGTATAAGCCAAAACTTTTAACTTTTAAACTTTTTTTTCCCCAAAACATAATTATGCAAATATCCCCAGTACATGCCTACGCTAGCTTTCCCAATAAAATTTTTCTGCCGTGAGTTACCATAGCTGGCTTGCTGTGTGTAAACATATTATTCATATCACAAAAATTCATTACACGTCAACAGGATGCAAAAAAACATACCAAACCAGGAAAAGCTCAAGTAAGGATTTGCTTGCACACTATCACAGCATTGCTAAAAAATTCCTTTTATCTGACTGCAAGTTAATTTGATTCCACAATATTTTAGTCAGCTAATGTGATTCACATTACTTGACCGATTAGTGATTAAGATCTTTGGTCACATAACAGCAAAGAATGGCCCAATACCAATAATAATCCTTGCATTTAATACAACGCCCTTCACGTCTCAAAGAGCTTCACATGATGTACTGTAAAGTGCCATGATTGAGTATCCTGTAGGCAAATGTGGCAGCCAATATCCACACAGCAATGTCCCACAAACAGCAATGAAATGAATGACCAATTTTAACTGGGGGATTGTTGGCCAGGACAATGGGAGAAACTCTCTTAAATAATTCTGTGGAATGTATGATGTTCATCCACACAGGGAGATGGGACCTCGGTTTAATGTTTCACCTGAAGTACGGGATCTCCAACAATACAGCACATACTGTTTTGATAGTAGGGATGAGTAGAGACATTGTATAAATATCAGAATTAATTAAGCTTGTGAAGATTATTAATGAAAGAACAGAATTGTAAGGCTGCCAGTTTGGAAAGGTGATTTGATATGAACATACATGAGGTTATATGTAGTCGAAAGTGGATTGGATAGTCGCCTTATACAGCAGCCCTTATCCAGTAGAATGACATAATGCTAAATTCATGACATTTATCCTGTATGGGAGATGGAATAAACAAACTTGTTCTGTAAATTGTTGTTTGGAAATCTGTTCAGATTCTTTTCCTGGTTCTTCTCTTTGAATAAAAAAAAGATTCATGGATTAAACAACAATTCATAGTAACTATGTAACTCATTCTAATGACCAAGAGATCATAGAAACTAACAATGAAAACCTTACCATGATGCCAAACCTCAGGATGTCCATGAAAGTATGAGCCAATCCCATGGCCAATGAAATATGGGCAAACTTGCAGTCCATTGGAGTTTGCTATCTGGCTGTAAGTATAAGAACATAAGAATTTTCTAGGTAAAAGAATATACAATTATTAACAAAAGAAAAAAAAATTTGGCTTTATAACATTGGAAAAGGCTGGACAAAATTCAGTGAATAATCAAATTTGAAATAATCACAATTTTTCCTATTTTGAAGATTGTTTCTCTATGTTCCCTGAGGTTTCTTAATTTCCTGCACCATTTCTGGACTAAGGACAAATAGGTCATATTTTCCCAGACCTTCTGCCAATGTCCCATTCACCTGGCAACTTGTACCTCTCATTAGTGTTTTTTGTGGCAGCTGAGGTGGACTCCGCAAACCCTAGGTCTGCTCCATATGGCTCTAGTTTACTACCGAGACACTCAGCAGCACATTTACTGACAACATAAAGAAGCTGGATGGCAAAGTGTAAAGTGTAGTGACTGTATTTTGTAGGCGAATTGCCTCTGACCTGCAGTTGTAAATGAAGTATAATGCAATCAACCAGGGCGAAGTGAGTGTAAACACATTCTCTTTTAGTACATTTAGTATAATGTGGTATAACTGTTTGCATACAGTAAGCATCAAAGACTCCCCCGATACGAAGACCTTATTACTCCCAAATAATAATAATAATAATCCTTGCATTTGATATAGCGCTTTTCACGTCGGGAGGACGTCCCAAAGCGCTTCACAGAACACACTGTAAAGTGAATTGACTGTATATTTGTGGGCAAACGCGGCAGCCAATTGCGCACAGCAATGTCCCACAAACAGTCGTGGATTGAAAATGACCAATTTATTATTGGTTTTGGTATTGGAGGGATTATTATTAGGCGTGTGGAGTAAGGAAACGTGCCCAAGATTATTTGTCTCAACAAACTCAAAGTAACAATCAAAATTATGAGGTGTGCTCTGTAATCACGGTACATACTTATATGTATAAGCACTGAGTTAGGGCCCTATTTGAAGTGAATTCTGTATCGCACAATACTTCTCCTGGCTGGATTCAGCTAGAGCATTCCTCCCTTTCATGTCAGAATTATTAGCACGGTTAGAGAGTTCTGGGCTAGATTCAAGCTCAAGTTTCACCTACTCAGTAATAAGTCAACAACAACATCAAATTGCATTATATAGTGACTTTCACGTCGAGAGGACATCCTGACAAAGTTAGTAATCAAGATACTCTTAGAAGAATGGAATTATTTACTTTCTCAATTTCCATATTGATTCACAACACTTCACTCAAACCCAGCACTTCAATCTAACAAGACAAAACATTAATCTGAGCAATGTTTTATTGATTCGCCTTTCATGTTTCATATCATGTTTTATTCCTATAAACCTCTAATGTAGTTAAAGTTCATGAGAAGTTTCAAGAACTTATTTTCTACAGCTCACTGTTTTTTCATCACTATTTGAATTGTCTGAAATGTAATATTGTAGAAACCAGTGAAATGGAGTCCAGAACGTGTTCACATTTAGTGAAAATTTTGCTTTTGCAGCAATTTCATCTTCGCCTTTACCTCTAGACCCTTCATCTCTCCTATGGAGACTGGAATTAAGAACTGATTGACCAGCCCATAGACCTTTGGCATCAGTGTTACACACTAGATTGTTCTCTATATATAAACTGCTTGGCAAAAACACTATTAAACTACCCATCTCCCGCAGACAAGGATGAATGCTCTCGGTAAACACATCTTTCTTTTCCAGTGCCTTGCACTTTTGTAAAGATTAACTCAGCATGCAAAGTCCAATACTGTTGTAGTTCTGCGGAAAACAGACAATCACTCTAAACTTCATAAATTGTCTGACTTGTTGTCTATCTTCAACAGCAAATGTTCAATATTATTCAGTAAATAGCATTGCTTACTATACAAAGGTTCAGAAGTTTGGCATTAGCTTTTCTCAAGCATCTTAAAAACTTATTGAGCAATGATTTTCAGACAACAACAACAACTCGCATTTATATCGCACCCTTCCCGGAACGCTTCCTTGCATGATATCAATGCCAAAAATGACCATTTTCATTCCAATATTTTCCTCATAAAGCGAAGCATTTATGTGTTATGACATAATGTGAAATGTAAGCAGTAGCTAATTTTTAAATGCTCACATCACTAGATTCGTTATAAGGAAGGTAAGGTACTGTATGTCATCCTTTTATCAATGTTCCTGTGCTTAAACATCTTTAATCACAATCTCAGTTATTTGTTTTGTAACAATTTAGAGAGTGAAGCCTGATTTATATTTCTCTCTTGCAGGGGCTTAAGGAGAGATTTACACACACACCTACACACACACACACACCGATAATCACAGGTTCCACTTATGAGATCCACAAGGAAGTCATTTGTTCAAAGTCTGATTAATCAGTTCTGCTGGTTAGGTCATGAGGACAGTTGTGTTCAGAAATGTATGGTGAGAACTCTACTGAAGACACGAACCAACTTAGCACTTGGTTTGATCTATGCTAATTTTATTGATCTCTGCCACAGGTATCAGCTGAGTTGCGAAGAGGGAAACTAAATAAGCCGAGCTTCCGAAAGTTTTCCAGTTATTCTTGCTACAAAGTGTAACTCGGGATATCTAGGAGGATCAAGAATATATTCGGCTGCAATGTCCTTCTTGGATGAATACCCTGTCATCAATACATATTGTTAAACTCGGGAACGAAGAATATGGACACTTGGGCTTATCAGCACCTGTGGAACTGTAGCTTTGCAAAAGTTTGCACCTTCAGTACAAGAGGAGAAAATTGCCCCCCAAACAGATGAAAAAGTGGCTAATGGTCAAAAATGAAAACGCCAACAGTCGTTTCCTTGTTAACTGGTCCTTTAAATACCATTGCAAAGACAGTAACAGGAATGTCATCATCAAACTGCCAAACAAGCAGCGCAACTGTTGCTTTCAAACTCCCAAACTGCCAAATGGAATCGAGTAGAAGAATGCGCCCTTATGTTCAGGGCAGGAGAAATAGTTATCACGCAGCACAGAAAACCAGAGCCGCAAAATTCAATTAAATGATACCTTGTATTTTTTCTGGGTGGGGGGGGGGATACATTTATACAAATACAGTAAGTTGCAAGTATATTTGTGGTAGGTTTGCATAGTTTGAGGAAAATCCATGCTAAATGGAAATTGTATAACGTCAGTATCGTTTGGTTTTGCTTTCATTTTAATGAAACATCCAGGATATAAAAGGTATAATTTGTGCGGCCCTGATTTCAACATCTGCAATTGCAGACAAGAGTAAGGTTAATTTTTTTTTTGACTCGGGGCCAAAAAAATTGTTTTGTCACCTTTGACATTAATGATGAGAAAGAAACCTCAAAGTCGGAGAGGTTTTGCTGACAAAAAGAGAAATGATGGAGAGAAAATAAGAGGTAATTTATGTAACTGCTCAGATTTTAGTTGCGAAAGCATACAGTGTTATTGTGACTTACAGTAGCTGTCAGAAAAATTCAGTGATAAAGACTTTAAAACATACTTATTCGAACATAAATTGCTGATTTGTACATCTGGTTAATTTGATAAGATTCTGAGCAGATATCATCTCTTCAATGCTTTCAAAACAACTGGAAACCAATCAATCATAACATGTACTGAGTGAATACTATTCTATGATTGATGCGATAAACTGCCTTTTTAATACATTACACACATATATATAGGGTGCAGTTTGCTCTGAGTGGATGTTTTGCCTGTGGAGTCCTGTAACTCAGTGGTTAGAGCACTCGCCTGGCAAGTGATTCCTGGCAGTGCAAAACGTTGGGCAAGTTTTCTCCACATGTCTCTGTTCACCTAGCAGTAAGTAGGAACCCAGTAGTCAGTCAATTGGCGGATCACTTCTCTGGGGGTAATAATTCCTTCAAAAATAATAATAATAATAAATGTGGTCACTCAATCCGCGACTGTTTGTGGGACACTGCGGTGCGCAATTGGCTGCCGCGTTTCGCCCACAAAATATACAGTCAATTCACTTTACCGTATATTCTGTGAAGCGCTTTGAGATGTCTCGAAGACGTGATAAGGTGCTGTATCAAATGCAAGGATTATTGTTATCATTAGTAGTATATATGTATATATATATTGCAAACAGGTTCACCAGACTTATGTTAAAGTTTATTGAAAGAGTTCAGATGACATGAAGACGCTGCACCCATTACATTAAGGGAAAGTATATTCTTCAGAACTGACAAACAAGCGTAAATATACTGCTAGAATTACCAGTGTCTCTCAATTTTCCCTTGTTTAGTGCTTCGTGCTAGAAATAGTCGGGGAAGGAGGGAGGTATTTAATTTTGTAAAATTCCCTCTGCAAAGATATCATAAAGAGCTCTACTCCCAACGACATCAAGAATGGGAATAGTAGGCTAATTGCTTACATGCAGCACTTCTCAATTAAATGACTATAAAATAAGGGAAACACATAACATATCTCATCCTGCACATTAAAAAGGAGAAGCAACTGACAAAAAGTGAAAATCATACGGATATCTAGACTGAATATCTTGAATATTCAGCAGCGTTTCATAATTTTCATAAAACGTAAAGGACAATGTAATAACAAGATTTACGTGAGGGAATGGATCAGATGATATTTCCATTGTGAAGCTTTTTTCCCCTAATAACACTGAGGTAGTAACTTTGTGGGGAGTGGGAGGAATCTTAAAATAAAATCTACTCCATGCTTTTACCCAGCAATTTCAAAAGCCTCAAACAATGTAACACAGGTACCTGAGACTCACTGGTAAATGACGTGATCCCAGAGTTATCATTTCAGCAGAAGTGGGGATAATTGCATCAATGGAATTTTTTTTCCCCCCACAAGTAGAATGCTGGAGATTCCAAGGTAAACTTGTGAGAAGAAAACTATCACCCTAAATAGATCACTGTCATTCTTGGGCAGGAAGCCTACCTTGAGAAATTAAATTTTGCCTCTAAATCTCATATTGAAGTCTTTACTGATAAAGATGAACTATTCATTTTTCATTTTAATCTAAACCTCGTTTCGGTCAGTGTAGAACAAGACAATCTCTCACTCGCTTTTATCTTAAATGTGAATTATATTTTATACTTTTGTTGATTTNAAAAAAATTCATAATGGTCTATTCATAACATGAGTTTCCTTAAACCTTAGTTTAGTTTGAATAGTATTTATCCTGTTAGTTACTTTGTAGGTTTTATGTAGTTTAACACTGAATGATGTGTTTGCCAGATTGGTTTGCAGGTGTAAAGGGAAATATAATAAGCAATCTTGAAGTTATATTTCGCTGTTATACAAGCTCATTAAAATCCTTTGATTTTTAAAACAAAATATTACTCTTCTGTATATGTGATCACATGAACTCTTGAATGGTAATGAAGCAACTCTAAAGTGCCTCAACAACTCTTAACACAAGGAAACTCCAAAATCAATAGTGAATAATTACATTTGATTACACCACATTATTCCTGATATAACATATAGCTATTGTGTAATTTGGGGGGAAAGAAACAGCATTAGTTTTGTTTCATCAAAAGAAACAGCCATTCTAAACGGATATCAAAACCGCCAGTTGTGGCAAAATATGATTATCTTACCCACAAATAATCTTCAACCATTTAAAATACATCATAATTTTACACATGTTTCACTGTATCAATCCTGATTACATGCTGCCTTTGAATTGATGAGAAAAAAATACAACAGTACCTATAAGTCCGCACAACCGGATTCTCAACTAGTCTGAATCCCAGTCTCATCTGACATTCCCTCTTGGAGACAAGTTCACCAGTGTCACAGCTGTGCCGTCTTTTCAAGACGGGGGGAATAACAAGTAATTTGGTTCCCTCCCATATTAATCAGTGATGGGTATTGAATTTTATGAAGACTGGAAGGAACATGACATGGATAGAAAGAGAGAGACTGGGGAAGAAAATTAAAATTACCCCCCAAGCACACAACCTAACTATTACTGGCAATAAAATCTTCCATTATTAGATGCACTTTATAAACATGTCATGTACTAAATAATGTGAAAACATTTAATTTAAAACAAATTTGGGAACCTCCAGTTTTATTATCACATATGACAGAAATTAGTAAAAAGGAAATGATAAAATGTTGAAGTATTATGAATCTTGATTTACGTAACATTTGAAAATGTCCAGCTGATTTTTGGAAAAAACCCACAAATTATGATTAAGCGCAGTTAACACAATGGGGTTTCTGCCAAAAAAAATTGCAGGAAAGGGTGTGACCATTACTTCACATGATATCAGAGAATAAGGACTCCCACAGGGTCGAACTAGTCTCTTGGAATTATATGATCACATTTTGTATTGCTTAGTCAACAAGGAATTCCCAAACTCCAGTTTTAAATCCTCAGTATATTAACAAAATAATAATAATAATCCTTGCATTTGATATAGCGGGTTATCATGTCTTTGAGACATCTCAAAGCACTTCACAGGATATGTGGATAAACGTGAATTGACTGTATGTTTTGTGGGTGAAATAAGTTTGATCAGTTGCTTTAGACTGCAAATGGATACAGCGAAATTCTAGTCTTCCTGAGTCAGTTGCATTTCCAACTCGCACAACGCGATAGTGAAATAAATATTATTATACCAATTAAACTACTCAAATGTATTACTAAAGTGTCAACTTTAGTAATACATTTGTGATGAAAATAAACAATTAAACAATTTCAAATAAAATCGAGAAATGTAACTATTGTCTTCCCTGTTACTACGCCATACACTAGTGTATTATTATTTTAAGTCTAGAATCACACAATTTTTCAGCAAAGGAAAAGGCCATTTGGTCCATTCTGCCTGTGCCAAATATCCACTCAGCCCCATTCCTCTGCCTTCCTTCATACTTCTGCATTGATTCTATTTAGTAGTATTTACAACTTCCTACTATTCCTCCTTTATCATTGACTAATTTTAAACACAACACACCTTTATCTTAAATGCTAGGTGCTTCATTCTTTCCACACTCCACTGAATGATTTTACCAAGTTAAAAAAGAAACGATACAAAGAGTAAGGCTAACAATCAACTCATACTGTTGTCTGTTGACCTGTTCTCATTGAGGGGACGGGGGAGCAACACATTAAAGGAGGCAAATTTTGAACTGAATTTTACCTGGACAGAAAATTAAATGTGCACTACAATATCAATACGCATTTGTTATTACGTGTGATTTTTATAAAGTGAACTGTTTCGGTCATGTTCAGTTAAAACTCTTGTGTTTGATTACTTTTCAACTATGTTGCAATGGTATATGCAATATTGAAATTAGCTAAACCTAAACATCCATTTACTACCATTTCGAGAAAATCCTGTACAATCTAGATTTCTTTCAGATTGAAATAATGTTGTTTGTTTTTATTAAACAAATGAATTGCTGTAAAGGAGGGAAAGCAAACACACACACAAAAAAACAAGCCCTTACTACAAGTAAGAGCTACTGATTCATTACTGCTGACTTTTTTTTTAAAAAAAAGGGCCCATCTCACAGCGCAATTGTAAAAGTAAATGCATTTCTCTGAATAGAAAATGAACGCATTTTCAAAGCGAGCGGCTTGCAATGGAGAAAGTGACAACTGCAGTTGGACGGTATCCGAATGTGCAGTCTGCTGGTTTATGGTAAAGAGTTAACTCGCAGACAAAAAGGGAAGGAGGGTTGGAACCTAGCAGCCACTTGAATGTGAGATATTTTTTTGTTCCCCTTGATGCATACCGAGCTCTCCATTATTAGTCTTAATGATGGAAAATTGTAGTGTTGATACAAATCTTTTTTTTAAAGCAATGGGCGGGAGCTCCATTTGTTACTAAGTTCTTTGTGACTGAAAGCCGTGGATTGTACATCTCTACCGCAGAAAAGGCTGGATGCTCTTTCCATACCACAGCTAATTACTCCCACTGTGACCTCGTTGATCTGTAATGTTCCTCCCCTGCATCTCATCTGCACGCCTGCTTCTGTGTGCGCGTGGTGTCAGAGAATATGAAAAAACATATAATGAAAGCAGTTTCATGATGGAAAAAGGCTACTGGAGTTGCACTTGCTACAAAGGAGGTTCAATTATATGAGTAATTGTGATAATTTAGTCCATTCATGGACCTTTACTTGATCAAGAATGAGACTCACAAAGGAAAATTACTTTAACAGGAAAGGAGAGAGAGGGAGAGAGGGAGAGAGAGTAAAGAGAAAAAAAAACAAGATGGAATAAGAAAATGGATATATAGAGGGAAAGAGAACCAGACACACAGTACAAGAGAGATGTGATAAAAGCTGACATGCAGCTGTGTTACACAATTAAATTCAATTTTTTTTAGCAATTGATGAATGCAACTACTGCAAATGTGCCTCAGTTAGCTATCATTTGTTGTTCAGTGACAGGAAAAGGATAATTACCTCTCAAAGTGAATCAAAAGACTGACATGCCCTTTAGACACAGTCATGAATGCGCTGCTCGATAGAATGCTTGAATAAGAATTCTGGAGCTTTTTTCTCTTTATCACTGAACAAATTTTGTTAGATATAATGTAAGAACACCACCAGCAGATGCATTAAACCCTGGGAGTTCTAAAGCACTAAGTACCTTTATCTTTTAACTCTTCCAATCTGCAAAATAAAGCCGCATTTGCATTTCATTTCTATTCAGTCCGGGGACAGTTTTATACAGACTTTCATTTCTTTCGCACAGGAGAGGTTTGATCCAGCAGTTTCTCTGGCAGATTAAATTTTAATAACTATAATAACACACACACACACACTGTACGCTACCAAACCCCATACAAGACACTTATTCCCAACAGTGTGAAATTCCCAATCATACTGTTATCAGAATAAATCATAATCAAATTAATATAACCATAAAATTGCTGTTTATTAACAGATCAAAGACACCAGTTTAAACATTAAGTTGTAAGTTGTCTTTTCCCACAGTAGTTACTGTTCACTAAACAGAAAATCAGTACCATGTTTGAGTAGTGTTCATTAGTATTCAGACTTCTTGACTTGAAGATACTTTATCAAAATATTCAACAAGCATCTCTTTTTAAATTTGTTTATGGTGTGAAAAGTACAAAACAACTACACAAACACTGCAAAGTAAACCAAAGGTGAGAACAGTATAAGATGTCTTATCCATTTTCTACTCTCTCTATACAGACTTTCCTCCGAGTCACTTTCAGTAATCTTCCTTGCTCTGGGAATAACATTATAGTCTGGAGGTTCAAATACTCCTATCAGCCTGAAATGATGACCCCATGTCATAAAACATGTCATCAGCTTTATTCCACACCACCAATAACCTCTGTCCCATTAAACATCCCCCATGCCTGTCAATACAAGGCTTACCTGATCGTGTTTCCAATTACATACAGTGGAGCTCCTGGCCTACAAACAGCAATCGCTTCATCCCTGCATCGCCTGGCAATCTCCACGAGCTTTTGCCCAGATTTATCCACATTTCCAACCAAGAATGTTTCAGAGGTGTCACCGTGGTAGCCATTAGAATACACCTGCGGGTCAATGAATCCAAGTAATTTATTGTCAAAAAAAATTCCTTCTCTCGAAGTGTCCTTTAAATGAAGACCTTAGGATTTGTAAACAGAGCAATCATACTCATAATGGATTCAACCACAGGTCAAAGTTACAAGTTTCATAATTCTTAAACATTTTCTAATCCACATGCCCCATTAACTGGGTCAAATTATACTGTTTTCATACTATGGCTTTAATGGTTTGGAAAATGTAGAAAGCTGTATATTGATTGACTGAATGCGGAGGAAACATATTTAGCAACTTACTCGAACATAAATACCATATTTAGAAAATTATTGCAGCATTATATGACGTTGTGCTCTCATTGTGGGCCTTAGTTCATTGTGCATTTAGCATTAAACTATTCTTCCAAACCAGCTAAATAATCTTGGTTCTGATCACACTCAGAGTACACAGAATAAATAAATAGTGAAATCAAACAGTAATCAAATGGAAGTGTAATCTGTCAAGCAGTTGATAAAATTGCTATTTTTGCCACTTTAAAACTTAATTTTACAAATGCTAAAGAGACGAAACAATCAAGATTAAAAAGTTGCACAACGGTTAATAGCAATTCTCAAGACTTTTTTTTTGATCCAAAGAGAATGTAACACAAGTAGAATTTTAAAGAATTGCAACATGTGTTTTCTGTCTGTTTATATTCTTGAATCTAATCCGCAGATAATTATATTTATATTGCGTTTGGAACAGGATACCTCAATCAGAGTTTCATAAAACGTAAAGAACATTGAAAGCAACAGTATTGCTGTCTACATAGACTGACACACATAGGACATGTCTGTCATTGAAGCCTCTAATGACAGAGTATGATAATCACAGGCCCCACTCAAAATCAGCAGGAAGAAGGAAGATCAAACTCTGCAGAGAGAGAAGGAAAAATGCCAGGGTTCTGCACATTAGCTCATCCCTTACATCCATTCAAAGCAGCCTCCCAACACCACAGCGTTCTGCATTAACTGCACAGTGGATCAATAACAATTACACCCTCTCAAGTGGACAACATGGTTTGAAGACTCTTTGAGATGGCATTTCGCTCTGGCCTGCACTGATCTTAGTGCATCGAAATCTACCCCAATAATCCAGGCAGATTGGATTCAAACCGGAATGAACAAGGGGAAACAGCTGTTTTTTTCTTGTATGGGAGCCGATTACGTGCTCTTTGTAAATTCCACATTCCCAATCCAGTGTTTTTCCTGTTGCTGCCGGGCATCAAAATGGTGATCAAAGACTCATTATTTTTGGATGAAATACTACTCACTGTGACATCAACATTGATAATATCTCCATCCTGAAGGGGTCGACTAGAAAGATAAACATGAAAAAAACGATGAGAGGGAATTTCTTAATACTCAAAATAACAGATTAACCATCTTAATGTGAATAGATCAGAACAGCCTAGCAATTATTTATGACTATCTTAGATAAAACAGGTCATGGAATAAATATTTAGCTTTAGATCTGCCCATTTAATGGAGTGACTGTAATTATACAAAATTGCAGGGACACCAAGTGATGCAGAAACAATACCATTTTTTGTTTGTTACGTTGGTACTGCAATATTGCAACATTTGATTGTAAAATATATATTTTAGTACATCAGCAAACAAAATTATTGATTCAAAAGAATAGTATGGGGGCTTTCAATTCCTGACAAGCAGCAGCCTAAATAGGCTACTCATGTGAAAATAGCATTAGATTAAAGTAAACAGAATTACTCTGCAATCCACATAAACACTGAAACTATGTACTGGCTCAAAGGAAGTGTTATTTATAGTGGTTAAGCAATAGGAGAAGTAAAAATATGACCGTATTTAATAATAATAATTGTTCCATTTGATATGGCTCCTGATCACATCGTTGAGCCATCTCAAAGTGCTTCACAAAATGTATTGTAAAGTGGATTGATTGTATATTTTGTGGACGAAACGCGGCAGCCAATTCCCCACAGCTATTTTTGTTACATACGGTTAAAGACAGGGAAAGTAGGCCATTAGTGCTATCGAGCCTGTTTCATTGTTTTATTAATTCATTGTAATTCTTTGTCTCTCTAATCCCATGTTCCCGCCTTTTCTCCACATCATTTACTCATGTATATACACCTCAATTGATTCTGTAACCATTGTCACTTGGGCAGTGCATTCCATGCTCTTATAACTTTATGTGTGAAGAAATGTTCCCTCATTCACATCTAACTTGTTTGGTCCCAATTTTAAAATTATTTCCCCTTGTTCTCCATTCCTTTACTAGAGAGAAAAGGCCATCTACCTTATCAATTATTTTAAAGACCTTAATCTCCTAAAATCTGGGGAATATAATCGATATTTGGTCCAGTGTCTCTTAGCTAAATCCCTTCATCCCAGGTATCATTCTGGATTAACACCGAGGCCAGTATACCCTTCCAAAGAATAACCGAATACAAGAAAAGGATTTCTATATAACAATAATAATACACAAAGTTAACATTCCTTTAGAAAGTCTTTAGTATGCTTAATCTAATTTTATTCTTCCGGAGTAAATTGTATAGATATCTCTGGTTTCGGGAAAAAAAGGTGTTGAGTTGGAGAGAAATACAATTCCGTCACCAGGTTACCCTTTACGCTAAAGCAAATTGATACCCCTTCTAATAGCGCTATGCAAAGTGTAAATTAGATTTCAATTGACCCATTCCAAACCACTTTCTCTCGGGGGGGGGGGGTTAGGAATTCTGTTAACCGTATGAACCAGTGATTAATACTTTAAGACTATTAAAAAGGCACACGTTTTACTGGCTAATAACATTTAAAACTGTTTTAAAACCCTAACTTTTTTTAAAAGAATAAATTCAAAAATGTATTTGAAATCAGCTACAGTAAAACATGATTTATATTGCAGCAAATTGGAGGTGTTTTTGTATTCAAATTAAATAATAATAATAATGCTTTTATTTGAAACAGTGCCATAAATGTCGGGAGGATTTCTCAAAGCGTTTCACAGCATTTATGGCAAAGCATTGTGACTGTATTTTGTAGCTGAGTGAATCTTTAAAACCAGATTTACGCTGCACTTTTAATGTTCATTTGACGTTAAAAATAAATGATTGCGAAATGGAGTTTAAATCAGCTTTCATGAAGGTTTCATGACATCCAACACATCTTTGTACTGTGGATTTCCACCCCTTCCCCTGTTGTTGGCTAACCTCTCCTCATTGTTCTCAATGGAAGAGCACTTAGATCGGAAGTGCCAGTGGAAGTGTATTGTTCACGGATTCAACATCAGTGCATGTAGATCTGCCATCACAAAGAAATGATAGAAAGAAACTGCAGTGACTCGATGTGCTAACAAGAAACCTGCCTGAAAGTTGATTTGTGCTCCATCCATTTAGCTATTACGTAAATAAGAACAAATATTGTACAGTGTGTAAAAGGTAATAACAGGCAATATGATATCCAGAACTTAAATCTTTGAAAATCACATACACAAAAATAATCAAATGGATAAATTACCATGAACAAATACCTGTCTGGTATACCATGACATACCACATTGTTTACAGAGGTGCAAACTGATTTGGGGAAGCGTCCATAGCCCAGTGGTGATGGATAGGCATTATTTCTGATTATTTCCTGGTGAACAATACTGTCCACCTCCTCGGTCGTCATGCCAACCTTCAACAAAAGGAACATGCAATAGAGGCGTTATTCCAGTTACTGCACGTTGAACGGCAAAGATTGTTGTACAAAATACAATTAAACAGAAGGCCAATGAAGAAAAATACACCAAAGCTTTTGCGCAGATGAAAAAGGTTCTCTCTTTGGAAGCCCATATGTGGGTTACTCTACAGGAAGATGTAAAGTGTGTGGAATATAGAAATATGTCTATACCACATTGATTAAGTTACATGATAGTTGCGAAGTGTCTTACCAGTTACTGGGATACCCTCAGCATCCCAACTCTTGCCACTGTACATTTGGTTCACACAAAAGTAGAAATGTAATACTGCAAATATCCGATACATTTACTGCCAAATCATGTTGTTAAGCTTCCTTGGTATATCATCGGAAGTGATTATATCATTATAACGATATGTTATTAAACAGATGTTGTCTAACTACTACAAAACAAATCAGTATTTAACCTTTTCTATTACATTATGTGATGTAAAATTAGATCATCATGGAATTTAATATCAACACTTTGACTTGTTATAATAGAACTGTAATGCTTGGTGTACTAAAGTGTTAATTAGTGTTAATGTTAGAATCTGTAACTATATTTTACACATTGCTGGTGTGAATTTCGGTGTTTGATGTTCAGTTAGGTGTTTCANTTTTTTGTAACACTTCATAATATTTAAAAATGGCATTTTTAAGATGTAGACAAAATTGTGACAAAAATGGCCCTTTTCATTTAACCTTGTCAGCAGCGTGCATTACCTTTAAACTTTTTCCAGCCAAGAGCAGAGTTTGTCGGGCCAGCTGACAGGCTTGACGAAGACCCTGAATCTGATCTTCATCTTTAATTTCGATGCAGTCTCCCCAGTTGGCTACAATGCCTGTCGTCACATAGTCTGGCTTCTTTATGTGCTTGGAAAAAAAAGATTGAAAATGAAGATGAGAAAACTGGAGCGTGACAATGGGATCATTTTCTCAGAAAGAGACTCCGGCTTGATGGCAGTTTGCCCTGAGTGTTACAGTGTCGACCCTTCCTGAGCCATCAGACAAACCCCAAGGCTGCTGCAATATTTCTTCGAATGCCCTTTTGAACTTAACATTGCCCACTTCTAAGCTCTTAGGAACACTGTTAACTCAAAGGTCTAAAACACGAACAGCGACTTGCTGTGCTTTAGCCCTTGGTCATACAACTGTAATGCAGTAAATTCAGGATTTAAATGACTTAGTCTCGTAGCAAGAACGATTTGTTTATCAAAGAGAGAAAGAACAAGGAAGTTTTCAGTTGGATGTAACCTTCATTAATTTGGATGAAGCATTTAATCTACTCTTCCTTTGGGCAAAATTAATCACAGTTGGTCTAGTCACTTTAATTTTCCGAATACAAATCACTACATTTAAAAGTGAATGCTGCCTAGCTGATTCGGATTTATTGAAGCCATGACTTTTCTTAGGAGTGAGTAGCACTGGTTGTACTTGTAGTGTAACTTACACAAAAGAGAGCAGTACACATTCATGAAATTTCCAACAACAGGGAATGCGCTAAATTTATTTAATGAAGCACATCAGCATCTACAAATTATAGTTATTGCACTTTACAGTATGTTCTTTGAAATATTTTGAGATGTCCAAGCAACATGAAAGGCGCTATTTCAAATACAAAGGTTATTATTATTATTATTATTATAGGTTTAAAATGTCCAATTACAATCTGGTCAATAATAGTCACGCATTATTTTTAATTCATGGATTCATTAAATTCTCCAACCGTTTATTCCATCTGCAAATTATTTAATGATAAACAGAAGAATCTGCCTGAAAAGGCAAATGTAAAATGTATTAGCTGTTTAATACTTAAAATTAATATAATCAGTCTTAAATATAACAGGTTTCACTATAGGAATGCAATTTAATAATGGAATAGACTTATAAATCTCCCTTGCAAAGCACTCTCTATATCTTCAAAACCATTAAATGTTAAAAAAAAATCCACCATTTCTATCTAATATCTGAGTTCCCTACCTTTACTGACCTCACCCACAATTACCTTTCGAGGCTTCATTATTTCTGCCTAACCTGTTACATCTCTCGTTTCACCTTAACCTCTTACAGGTAATCACAAAAAAACAGCAGGGAGCTGTGTGGGATGATACTGTAGGTCAATGGCAGTATACCTTGGGTACAGGGTAAGATGGTCCGACAATTGCTGGATGCACTACGCAATAGGAGGTGTGCTTTTGACGTTGCCAAAAGATACTTTTCACATGTTGATCCCTAAATGGCTTGCGAGTGTAAGTAGGGCTGAATTGTGCTGAGGAAATCCTGCAGCAGACACCTGCACATCCTGCGGGAGTGGGGGGAAGAAATATTAGCTGCAATTGTATCATAAGAGTTATTTCAATGCTTATACAGTACGTCAGTATTTATAAACAGTATTCGCAGTGTGTCAACCTGGCTCAGTGGCAGCACTCTCAGCTTTTAGTCATAAGGTTGTGGGTTAAGCCCCACATCAGGACTCGGAATCACAGTCTAAGCTGACACTCCAATGCAGCGCTGGGGGTTGTTGCATTGTCGGATGTGCTGTCCTTCGGATGAGACATTAAACCGAGGTCCCGTCTGCCTGTTCAGGTGGGCGTTAAAGACCCCATGGCACTATTCAAAAAGAGGAGGGAGTTTCTCCTTGTGTCCTGGCCAACAATCCCCCAAATAAAGTTGGTCACTCACTCCATGGCTGTTTGTGGGATATTGCTGTGTGCAATTGGCTGCCTCGTTTGGCCCACAAAATAGTCAATCCACTTTACATTATATCCTGTGAAGCGCTTTGAGATGTCTCAGCGACGTGATAAGGCACTATATCAAATGCAAGGATTATTACTATCCTCACTGACCAGCAATTAGATTGTACAGTCGTCTGTAAATCAAGTGACAACAGGAAATCCTAGCGTTGATTTCTATTTAGATAGTCTAGATCTGCACAGCACACTGCAGCAGAAAGGTGGGATGAGGGTCGGTGCCTGCAATGATCTACAAAACTAAGTCTCAGATCTCGGTTGTGTCACTGTAGAGAAGTACATCTCCACAGAGAGCAAATATTGGAGGGAACACGGACAACTTGGTTTAGATGGTCCTTTCCAATTTGGTCTAGATATTGCATTGCAATGGCCCACAGCAATGCATTGGAATGTCAGCCGAGTCTGTGAGCTCACCGACACGTTCTAGGGTTTGAAACCACAACCTTGACTCAGAAATGAGTCAGAAATATAATTTATTTTTGTCTGGTTCATCAGCAGTGATAGGACTTGATTGATAGAATTACCTGAGGGCAAAGAAGCAATTTCTCGGGGATTTTGCACAAGGTAAAAACGCAACTGAGAGACAACAGTGTCCTAAAAATTCTCCTTCCACTGTTTATTGAAGTTATTACCCATCTCAAATTTTCCACAATGCTGGTAAATGTCATCAAGGCTGAAATGAGTGATCTCATGTGTGTATGTATATGTATATATATATATAAAATCTTGGTCAGTTTACTAAAATTATCTTTGAGTGCTATAAATACACGCAGAGAGTTCTGTTTGGTAATGTGGCAGAATTTAATGTACTAAAGTGATGATGCTGTACAGTGGGGTGATTTGATTTAAACAAGTGTCAGTTCTGGAGGGAAGGGGCCTGTATCTGCTTTGATAGCAGAAAAGGAGAAGTTGCATTGCTGATGCTAAACAAATGAAAAAAAAATTCAGCACCGGTACAAACGAGTCCACTGAGTAATACTTTTTGGCATTATTAATGTAACAAGATCCAATTATTGTCCTGAACAGTTTTGAATAGATTATAAATCCAAAATAGTCATTAATATTAAATGGATACATGCAACAGACGCTTCTTGATATACAGACACACTATATACAGTATATAAAATATATATAACGCATGCACACACATAGGACTGGAACTATAAAGTACTCTAATGTGAGATGCCGTATCTACACACATCTGTTTTATATCAATGGTGAGAGGCAACAAAAACAACAACAGCAGCAGCAACAAAATTACATTTGTAAAGCGTCTTTCAAATCGGGAGGACGTCCCAAGGCACTGAAGAGTCGGGGATCAGGAGCGTGAGGGGCAGGGTTGGGATGAAGGAGGGCAGAGGGGGTAGAAGGGCAGCTGGAGGATTTTGAGTTGTGCCTTGAAGGAGGCAAGAGAGGGAGCGAGGCGAAGGGATTGCGGGATGGAGTTCCAAAAAGTGGAGGCAGAGACATACAAGTGACACAGAACCAATATCTGACCCTGATTATTCTAATCTACATACAAGAAACTGAAACTATCCTTTGACCGCAAACTACTACTGTCTTAGATAGTTACTGTTACAGGGATCTAAGGATCGAAGGTTTCCTCCCAACAAATTAAGCCTGTTTCTCGCCAGAGAAACAAATACAGAAACCAGTTTTCTTAAAAGATGCCCTATATTTTATTCAGTATAGCAAAGAATGTTTACGTTTTAAGATGTCGTAAGCATAAATAATGTTTTTTTGAGGCACAGAAACAGGATATTAGCTTGTCTCAGAAAAAGGCACAACAAATTGTATTAATGTGAAATAAAACCACTGCTAGCAAAAACAATTATAAGGCTTGGTACCGTAGTATTAGCTATCTAACATGTACTGTATGAGTTGGCATTAGCATTATATTTTTGCTGGCAAATTCATAACAATCTGAGCAGCAGAGATGACAGAATGAAAACAGATCTTTCAGCCTTAGCACCATTTTCAATTCAAATATGCTTACATAAAGGATTTATTATAATTATCCTGACCGATAGTTGGTCTGGTTATTTATCATAGAATCATAGAATCCTACAGCACGGAAGAAGGCCATTCGGCCCATCGTGTCTGTGACAGCTCATTGAAAGAGCAATCTAACTAGTCCCACTCTCCTGCTCTTACCCATAGCCCCGCAAATTTTTCCTTTTCAAGTACGTATCCGATTCCCTTTTGAAACCTACTAACAAATCTGCCGTCCAAATCTGACACTTTACTGAAAGGTCACTTTTTTCTTATTTATATCTAAATTACTTTTTTGTTTATGATTAATATTCAGACCAACAATCAGTCTGATTTACACAGGTCAAATTTCTGATGCTTTCAACAACAGCCAATATTATTTTCTCCACGAAAAAGATATTTGAAACATGTTCTACAAGTTCTGAATTCTATTTTACGTGTTAACCTAATACTAATACTAGGAAAAGAATGCAGTAAATTTAAAGCTAACTAACCACATTCTTAAAGTTTGTACATTTTTAAACGCATATGCAATTCCTGCAATACTTGGCTCACTGCAGGAATGTTTAATAAATCTTCAAAAGCTTTCAAAATAAGCTGAGGTTTTCAAGCTGATTGATACTATAGTATATTAAAGACATACAAGTTACAAAACAAAGTCGACCCAAATACCGCCCCAGTTTACTTTAGGTTAAAAAGATATACTAAACAATAAATATATACGTTTTACCGTTTTCAAAAAAAAAAGGTTTGAGGGGATGAGTGATGAAAGCAATACAAGTAATGGGAGTTTGGGAACAATGTGGGAAAATTCTAGAAACTGCCCACACACTTCCTTTTCAGTGAAGAAAATTCGTAATATTTCTGTTACTATTCTGAAACCACATCGCCACGATACATCAACATCATCAATCACCAGCGACAGTTGGTCGTGTCTCACTGTGGTAAACTTACTAGTGAAAAAACTATCAACATCTGGATACATAAAAACAGCAAACTACTTGCCTCCACATAATTCATTTTCTCTTAGATTAGCATATAGAAAAATGTGTGCCGTAGAAGGCAGATATGCCTTTATGTTTATTATTGCATTAGTTTAAATTGTGAACGGAAAGGAAGCACCAGTGTTGCATTCAATGCCTTGTGTAGATACAACAATATCATTGTGGTGTACGTAGCCTTAGGGCAAAAGCATGAACCGATTTGTTCAAATGGAAAGACAAGAGTTCTTGAAGTTTAACAAAAAGCAAATTCATGCTGTCGAAAGATGCCATTTTATCAAGATATATTAAATATATTGAGCAGCTCTGCCTTTCATTGTGGCGCAATGCAAAACAAATGGAAGCACTTTTATGTGTATTAAAAATGATAAATTAACAATTCGCCCAGACAATGTGTGCTCTTTTAACAACAGAGGTGCCCAATTTGCATGGTGAATGCTTCACTAGATGTGAGGCACTGTGTACTCAGGGTTAGGACTGGAGGCTACCTTGAACAACAGTGCATTGACACTGCAGTGTCTGTAAACCCATGCTGGTCACGGCATCATCAGGCTTCCTTTCCAGGGGTTAACTGCTCCAGCGGCCAAATAAAATATAGAGACAGCCATGTAATTATGTAGACAGTCAAAGGGCATGCTCCATTTTGAAATCTATTTGCATGAAAAAGTCTGCCCAATTTAGTACACCGGAAATAAGCTGGGAAAAAGCTCCCCTGTCCAGTAACATACAATCCAGATGCCAACCACACTTTCTTCTCTGAAATATATTCAGATAAGATCACTCTCCCCCACCCCCCACCCCACACATGCACGAAGCCAAAAACGAAGCCTTTAAATTAGGTTTACAAGTTAGCAGAAAGATTACGCTCAAAGGTTATGCCACAAATTATGCTCACAACGTAATTCTACATCAGTTATAATCTTACAACTAAGGGAGGCTGCACAATTAAGAGCAACACATGTACATTTAGATGTGTTTAAGAATTGGCCAATTTGTAAGAATTGCAAAGTTAGCCATCAATTATTTGTCCGACTTGAAATTAGTATCTGGTCTCTTATCAACTATGAATAAACTTTAACTACCATTCCTAAGCGTTGAGACATTCATGTTATTGCCTAAAAGCTGCTTTACAAGCATCAGTTGTTTTTTTCTCCACGTTTCGGCCACAAAATAGAGTCAATTATATTCTATATTATATTATAATTATATATATATATAATTATATTTAAATTATATTCTGCATATTCAATATACTTTACAGTATATTCTGTGAAGTGCTTTGAGATGTCTCAATGATGTTATAATGCGCTATTTGAAATGCAAGGATTATTATTATTAAGTCCTTGGAGCTTACTCCAACGAACTTCAATTGCACTCTCATTGTACGATGCTCCCCTCAACACTAAAGCAAGTATAGATAAATATCATGAGCAAACAATTCCAAGTCTAGGGGATGTAAAAGCGGTTTTGCCTGAACAATACTGCAGTTATTTCCTTAACACATTATGACAAGTGATAGAAAATCCTGAAGATTATTATGATTTCCAACTCGCTTTTTG